GTCCTCTAACATGATTTCAGGATTGCGGCCCATGTTGTATCCACACTTTTATTACAATATTATTTAATTCAATTTCTATTAAATTTGCTAGTTTTGATTTATGTTATAGATGTAGTATAACTCTTCTATTCATGAATTTATTTTACTTTTATACAATAAAAATCATTAACCACATAATATATCTATATAATCGTAAAATAAATTTTATTTATTGTGATAAATAGAATATAGAAGTCCGTACTAAAAAAAGTAAGCAACCTAAAAGAGCTAATTCACTTGTTGTAATGAAATTGACAACAACAATATAATAATATTTTTTTCAAGTATTAAAAATAGAATGAGATATTTAAATGGGTGTGTTGCAAAATAAAATAAATAAAATAAAGAAGATTGAAAATGTAATTTGTAACAACCTTAGTAGTAGTGTGTAGGGCAGAAGATACGATATTTTAAGCGAGCGTTCAAGTGGGAAAAATGTTGGCACTTGTAAGTCCAATCAATCCTTCTCAAACTTTGACAGTGAAAGTTGCCATCATATTCATATCTGATTTTTATTTATTTATGATTTTTTTTTTTTACAGCTTGGTCGTTTTTTTCTTAACTATATGCGGCTTTTATTCTCCTATTCAACACTGTTGTTTTTATGGTAATTTTGTCCAAACACTCATTTTTTAATATTTAATTCTGTTGAAATTTTTTATATACACCTGAGTACATTGTAAATTCAACTAATTCAAGGTTAGTTTATATTTTTCATTTGATGATTAAATAAAAAAAATCATCGAAAAGAGCAAAATATTCATGAATACAGTGCATAGTGCATTTGGATGTATATAACAGTACTCCCTCCGTCCCTAAATTACATTCCCCTTTCTCTCTATTATGTGAGGAATAAATGCTAGAAAGAGGAATGTAATTTAGGGACGGAGGGAGTACCTCCAAATCAGTTATTCATTCACTTTTATTAGACAGTCTTTGTGATTCACGCTGATAGAGTATAAAACATATTCATGGGCCTCAACCATCAGCTTAAGCTTGTGTTGCATCCACATTATTTTATTTAATGCTTCTAATTTGAGCTTATGCGTATATCAGTGAATCAACTATTAATGGTTAGATTTGTTATTTAAAAAAAAAATGATAAAAAGATATTAAGTACTCATTGAAACGAATCAAACATGACCTCATATAATTACAAAATTTGTTTTTGAATAATATAAAAGGCTAAATAGTTACAAATAAGATTCCAATTGATAATATAGAAAAAATGAATGGGATAAAAGATAATTTAAAAAATTAGCACTATATTATACGAAGTAATTGATTACTTATGTTTATTTTTAAACGTTAGTGAAGGAGGTTTATTTTGGTGCATAATTGAGATCTAATATGGGTTAGGGACCAGTAAAAATGCTAGTGTAAAGGTAGCATTGATAAATGGATATTTACTTGCAACTTTAATTAATAAATAATAATAACACAACAATTGTTTGTTGTCACATTTATTTATATAACGTGCAACATAAAATATTATTATAAAAATGAAATGAAAAGTCGTAGATTAATACGAAGTAAGAATAAAGATTCGTTGTAGATAAATCACACATTCATACAACATGTTCCTAGAGTCGTTGAATCAAAGTCGTTATCACAATAAATGAAAAAGAATAACTCCAAATAAATCGTCTCTCTTCCAATTTGTTCTATTCTTTTAGAAAATCACAAGTTCGGCGTACAAGTCTTTCCTATATTGAGCAAGCTATGAATACTTGGACCAGTACAATCATATCCAATCCCTTGTGCTAAAACTGCACCTCTCTTTTCGTCGTATATTTTGTACGGAGTAACATACATTATTTGTATATTTTACGAGTACATCTTAATTACAAGGAGAAGTTTATAAATTTTAATTTAGTGCGGAAAGTTACATACATAATTGAAGATTTTGCGACTTAATTACAAGGAGAACGAAATTTGTAAATATATATAGTCCGTACATAATTATTTGTTGCGCAAAGAAACAAGTAAAATTTGTATGTATCTTACTAAACATTAATACGACATGTATTCAAGTTACGAGAACTTTTTAAGATCATTTGCGTAATATTAAAACTCGCTATGATTTTCTAATAAAATGGCAAGTGACATCTTACTTTATAATCCACAATACAACTACCACCACAACAATTATTGAATATTACTAATAAAGATTATTTTTTTAAAAAAAAAAATAATCAAAAGGTAACTTGTTTGCGTATTTCTTCACTTGGATGCATTCTAATCAATTGTATTATCTCATTCATAATTAGGTAAATTAGTTCTTATTATGTGCAATGATCCCTTTTTTATATTTATGAATTTTATGTTTATGCACATGACAACAAATCGAATCTAGCTAGAAAGCTCTATTAAAACACAAATCAAGCTTAAAAAGTTTGGAATCAAGATTATCTTAGTCAAACCACTAACAAAGGGAGGCAAAAAGACAAATATGGCCCCCATTAATCTATAATCACACCTTGAGCACACAAAATGATTCCTTCTCAAGCAAAGTGACTAGAACCCAACATAAATAAAATTAAAAAAAAAACTTAAATTTTCAATTTTTTTTTTAAAAATCAAAAATAAAAAATCAAAATCAAAATTAAAGAGAAACCCCACTTTGGTATATTACTAATGAATTTATTTTCATTAACAATTGGATTCGAACAACTCCCCTCTTGATTCCCCACATCACCAAACTAAAAAATGAAAATAACAACCAAAAAAAGAAAGAAAAAAAGAAAAATCCTCAAATTAAAGTGACCTAACTTTGCATTTTCTTTTTCTTTTGATTTTCTTTTTCTATGCCCTTCTTTTTTTTTCACTCATACACTCTTAAAAATTTCCTTCTAAAGTCCTTCCTAATCCCAATCTCACAACCCTTTTTTCTCTAACTTTTTAATTTTCTAGTACAAAGAATACAAAGCTTTCTTTGTCCTTTTGATCTCTTGTATTTTGTACCACTCGCATACAATTGCATGAAGTCACGCGCCAGTAGTGTTTTAGGTTATAGTCATGTTTGATAGGTGTATAAACTGTAAAAGCTGCTAAGAAATGTTATTGGTTTAGTACTAAGGTTAGTAAATTGACAGCATAAAGCCATAAAGCATAAAATTTGGGAGGAGCGTGTAATAAGAGCATATGCGTAAGTGGGTGTGATTTTATAATCTTATATGCTCTCTATTTAATTCGTATTAATTATGAGGATGGTAAGATGCACAATTATGAAAATGGATTGATGTGATGAAGAGATAAACTAAGAGAAAAATTAAACATCAACTAATAACCTATTCTCTTCAGCTTAATTTCAGTCCAGCTCATCTTAGCTTAGTAAATCAGAACAGACCCTAAGGGTCTGTTCACATTTACTGAACTAAGCTGAAATGAATATTTTATAAGAGATGGAAATTAAGAGCTGAACTGAACTGAACCAAGCTGAAATGAATTTTTTTTAAATTAAGAGCTGAACTTAACTTAACTGATTGGAGCTGAAATGAACTGAAATTAAGTAAATGTGAACAGACCCTAAGTCTATTTAAATGAGTCTTATAAGATTTTTATAAACGTGCATTTTCCAAATATATAATAATATTTATTATTTTTTTCGTTACTGAACTAAACATATTTAGAGACAAAAAATCGCAAATATAATGATATGATCAGATCTAAACTTATTTTTTCAAGTCTAATCTAAATAAATAAGGAAAATGTTATACATAGCCCTTAGGGATACATAAAAACATTAAATTTACATTTGAAAATTGTAAAAAAGTTAAGAAATCATCAAAATATAAACATTAATAACACTGATTTACGCGTGTTTTTGTCATAAATTCCTAATTTTATACAATTTCCAAGAGTATATTAAATGCTTATATATAGCCTAAATATCTTATTTCAATTATTTGCAACGTGTTCTTTTACAGCGAATAGATAGATGATTTTGAATAGCATTTTTATGATCCACTTTATATGCTTTAGACTTCTAAGATGGTTGTAACAAATTATGAAAATCACAAGGAATCGAATTTAACGAAATCAAACATAAATACATAAGTGGATATATTATATATTTTCATGTGTATATTGCTTGTTGGTTTTGTTTATGTTTAGTTTGCCCAAATTTTATAGCCTACTATTCCGTATTTCAGTGATAGTGTTTATTTACGAGTAGATGACATATTTTAGGAAATTCTAGTTTAGTCATGTACCTATTAAACGATTCATGATTCTTTCAATAATATAACATTGGTTAACTTGATAGAATTTTCTTCTAAATTCTATTAGTTTCATGAATTCACAGTTGTTAATTTACATCATCTATAAATATTAGTGATGGGTGTTATTTTGGGAGTGATCCATCTACATTTGTAAGGTTTCATCGTGACACTCAATATGCTCTTCATAAAGATCATATTCATAGATTTATTTACTAATTTTCCCCGTGTGTTCACTGTTCATATTAATTTTTTACTTTTTTTCATTATTTAATCTTCTCAATCACTAGCTTTCAAAGAATGTATAAATTTGTGAAATAAAAAAATAAACTTTATTTATCAGAGCAATTACAAGAGACTAAAAATTTATTTTTTATTACAAACAAAGAGTAAAGAAAGAAAAAGTATGGAATAATAGTGAGTATTATCAAAGGTAGAACGAGTATTTGATGTATGAACACATAAAATAAACATGATCATGTGTTAGTAATACACATTATAAATGAAAATGGTGCAATTATTATACCATATCTCATAAAAAGGGAAAATAATGCAATTAAGTGTAATTTTAAATTTAATTTACAATGGTTAAACTACTTATACACTTGGCGTATATCGATTAGTCGTAGAGTAACTTTAAACCGATTAAAAGTAATTGAGTGATTTAAAAATCGAGACAATTATAGATTATTTTAAAGTGTAATTTTAAATTTAATTTACAATATCTATATTATATCAAATTTACTATCTCCGTTTCAAATTTTGCAACAATAAACATTTTTAGCTTACACACTATTTCAAAATCGTGATTGTATTTTAAAACATATATAAAATGACATGTATACCCTTGATATCCTAAAAAAATACTTTCCTTAAGACGGCCAACACAATCTCAAGTGTTATAGAGAGAAGAGAGTATAACTGTAATAAGGACCCTCAAATCCCGGAAAAATAAAAATATAACCCCTCATAAGAAAAGTCTCCTTATTTTTTTTTTCTTTCTTTATATATTAATTTTTTTTTGTAACAGTACCCCATATTAAAAAGCTGAAAAGAAGCACCAACAAGATCCACCTCGAACACCCCTCCTCCACCACCCACCACCACATTTTCTCTCTCTTTCTCTCCATAACCAATTGTTCAATAAGCAATTTTTTTTTATAGCAAAATTTCTTTTTTTTTTTGAAGAAATATAGCAAAATTTCTGTTTATTGGGATTTTATTTTATGGAATTATCTCAATTGTCTCCTTTTTATACATATTTCTTCAATTATCCTTAATAAAACTCTCACTAATCTTCTCCACTTGTTGTTGTGCCCACAAATAATTTTCCCACCAAAATTGAAATTAAGCCATACCCATTTGAGACAATTAGATGAATTTTTTTGGGTAATTGTTGAATTTTTTTGGGTAATTTGAAATTTTGTTGTTGTTGAAGGTTGTGAAAAGTTCTTGTACCAAAAAAAATACATACACATATAAAAGAAAATAAGGGAGAAGATGAGAGAAGAGGAGTCAAATTGGTTCTCTAAATGGGATGAAGAGTTACCGTCGCCTGATGAACTGATTTCTCTTTCTCAAACCCTAATAACTCCCGATCTCGCCTCGGCTTTCGATATTCAAAGCCCCGGGAGCAACGGGAATACCCCAATCTCTATTCTCCACCACCACGCAACGTCATCGCCGCAGCTGCTGAGCCAATACCACCACCATGGGGGGCAGCAGCAGAGCAGCTCGGCGCCCCAGCCGCCCCCTAACCAACCCAACTCGTCTGAATTCGACTCGTCCTCAGCCGAGTTGGGCGGGGGCGGTGGGGGTGGTGGTGGAGGAGGCGGGGCCACTTCAGGGGGTGGGGGGAATGACGAGCCAGCCCGAACCCTGAAGCGGCCCCGCCTCGTGTGGACCCCACAGCTCCACAAGAGATTCGTGGATGCTGTGGCCCACTTGGGTATCAAGAATGCTGTACCCAAGACTATAATGCAGCTGATGAGTGTTGATGGTCTTACTAGGGAGAATGTTGCAAGTCATCTTCAGAAATACCGTCTTTACTTGAAAAGAATGCAAGGTCTCAACAATGGCGGCGGAGCCGCTGGTGTCAATGGTGGTGCTGGTGGTCCGAACGGTGGATCCGGTGATCCTGCTACTGATCATTTGTTCGCGAGCTCACCGGTTCCGGCCCATTTCTTACACCAAAATGGGCCCGGTGCTGCTGGTGGTGGTCGGCCCAATTCAGACCATTTTATGCCGTATATGCCGGTTGCGGCCCTTAATCACCATCAGATGGCGGCGGCTGTGGTGGGTCATCAACAGATTCAGGCCCAATATCAGCATCATCGACAGTTGGGCCATTTCGGGTCGGGTCAAGGTGGCGGGCAGTTTGAACATCCGTTTTTGTCAAGGCAAGCCCAATTGGGCCCAAGTAGAAATGGTATGATGCAGAGTAATTCTGGGTTTGTGGAAGATGTTGAGTCTGGAACAGCCAACAATGGTGGCAGGAAAGTCCTCACTCTCTTTCCTACTGGAGAAGATTAATAAATCTTAATTAAAAAAAAAGATTATGACAAACATTTCATCAATTTCCCAAAAAAAAAATGCAAAAAATTATAGTTGTTGTGATTAACTTGGGATTATTTGTTGGTTTCTAGTTAATTAATTGCCAATTAGTGTTTGTTGATGGGTAATTTAGTCATTTTTAGATAGGGTGTTATCATGGGGCAGTGTTAATTCTGGCTTCTTTGGACATAATTAAGCTTATATTAATATTATTATTACTATTACTATTACTATTAATCATGGTGTAATTAATTAATTAAGGAAGGTTTATCTACAATATAGAGAGAGGTGTTATCATTTTCACTTCTGTTTATAATTAGGCTTTTCTAGTGACTGAGTAAAATTGATCAAGATGTCACTTTTTGGAGAAGCAGCCTGCAATCATACTTGTTGTTTTTGAGTATGTGATCATGTGCTGATTATTCTTAGTTTTCTGAGGCCTTCTTTTATCATTGAGCAATGAAGAGGCATCATATCATATTTTCAAGATTATGTCATAATTCTTGGTTGCTATACTGTCGGACCCGGCCATAGAATTGCCTTTTCCGGTAATGTCGGAAAACTAAACACCGTTGACAGCCTTCATCTAGTGTCTAGTGACTGTAGTAGTCCCATATCATGTAACAGTTAAAATGTAGTTTTACTGTATTTTTTTTGTTGCCAATGTAGTAGTAGTACTATTATGTAGATGTGGTTCTTTCTTGTTGTAAATTGTGTCATTCAATATATTAAAAGCCTCTGATTTTCATAACTTACATGAACAAACTAGTATTGTTCTGTTGTACTAGTATTGTACTTCTGTCCTAGTTGTGATCTCCTGAACATTCAACCTGTATGCATACTTACTTCGCGTTGTTATGTTGGTGACTGTTTTTCCTACATTAGGATAAACAAACAATGTGAATCTTGATCGGATTAAAATATACCAATATTCCTACACTTATCGACGAGTATTTCTGTAATCTATAACTAGATCCATCGTATTCAGCCAGATCTCTTTGCGTTTGCTACATTTTATAATCAAGGTTGAATCATTCAATTTGCATTATTTAACAGCTGTATTAGACAACTCCATGCTGTTAGGACCTGGCAAAATGCGTGTTACTTAACTGCTGATTAACAGGATTCTCTGCTCTCCGATCATGTGTTCGACAGTATCAGCTTCAGTTTCCCTGTACTCGCAATCGTTTGTGTTTACTGCTGGAATGTCGAAAATTATGTGCACATATTAGTATATGTACTTGCAGCTGTAACTTCTGTTAGATCATGATTCATTCAGCTTCTTTCGCAGCATTTCAGTGGCTAGATCTTCGAGTATCTTCGTGGTGCTACCTATACTTTGCAAAACTAACTCGTACTCGATTCCAATTTATCTAACTCGAACCCAAAGGGTCCTCGAGAGCAAATTGTCCAAGCCAAACAGAAATGACATGACCCGACCTAAAAATTAATTTTTCTTACAAATAAAATGTATGTATGATTCTATCCTAAATTCATCTACTCGACTACTCAAGACCCAAACCATTAACTCTTCATCCACCCAAATATATACGAACCAAACGACTCATTTGTCACCTCCGGTGTTACTTTAGTCGCAATCATATTAATTTACATAACTGAATTGCCACTCATTCACAAGTGATTAAAAACTAATCCTGCAAAGGTGGAAGCTTCGATGTTGCTTCAGGTTTAATTTAAATAATAGAATCTTAAAGTGTCGTATTAAAATTGCTAATTATGCATGATTAGGATTATATCATAATTAGGGAAGATACTAGGAATCTCACACATAACAATGATAACATGCATGTTACTGTAATATTATCAGCAATTCCCGGAAAACAAGTAATATTTGGGGTGTCTTAGCTTTGCTTTTCTGAATAAATCTTTGTTAGAATTGGTGTTGCCCCTAGTATGTATTACTAGGCCCTAATTTTAAGACTGTTTATTACAAGAGCTTGAAATAGTAATATTTCTTCGATTATATGCCAAATATTATTTATGTCATTTATACTATATGCTAAAATATATTTAATGTCCCTATTACCAGGGTATGTATCTTAGTAGTAAAGGCTGGCCTAAGCAATTGTAGTACGTTTATTGGCAAGGCAACTTTAGTAGGCTTATAGTCACAAGGTGCCAATTTTCACTGTCATTTTTGAACCACATAATTTAGCTTTTTTCAAAAGAATTTATTTTTTTCTCTCTTGTTTACTACTTGTATGTAGCACGAATGCAATTATATAGCGCAAAAGTGGTTGTATGGCCAATCTCGGCCCGGGACAAATGATCCAATAATGGATGTCCTTCCATCCAAACGATACATAGTGTTTTAAAGATCGCAATGCAATCAACTTCTAGCTAATTATTGTAACATATAGGATGTCGCGTTTTTATTTTAGAATTGATTGGTTATCCAATCGTCAATCATATCATATATATTCCTATGGGCACGGCAGAGGGAGTGAAACATGTACGTTCACACTCGTTGGTGTTATGTAGGTGAATGGGTATAGGATGTGTAGTTGTGCACTAGCCTGGTAGGCAATCCACACATCACGGACAATACATGCCTACAACGAGCACTGCACATATTGTTGTTCAATCATCAAAACACCGAATCATGACTTATCACTATAACACGACTTATATAGTTATATACGAAAGGAAAAGAGGAACAATGCTAAAGGATTAAGTCATTATTGCCTCTCATCCTATGATCCATATAATGCTTATGGATTGAGAAAATCATGGATCACAAAATGATGTCAATAAGAAAGGTAGCAAACAAAATGAAAAAGGGAGACATACAAACTATATGGTAGGCCTCAAGGGGTAGTGCTAGGAATTTTCACATGGGAGATTTGAAGAGAACATAAACAAGAAAGGACACTAAAAAATAAAATAAAAAAAATATATTAAAAAAATCATTTTATATTAAATTTTTAATTTGTTGAGGTTTAGGATTTGATGTGGGGACCTCCCAAAAAAAATGAGTAAAGAGCCAAATTAGTAGAGAGTATATCTCGTTAAACACATTTGAGATTTGGGACCAAACAAGGCACAAGGAATTTTCGATCATATGTGGCAATGTGGGGCGGCATCAATATCATCATTTACTGTTATATATTCTAAGTACTTTATTTATTTTTTATTTGTAGTATTTATTTATTTTCTACATTTATATTTACACTCTCATGATCCAAGACCGAGTTAAGGGTGAATGTGGGTACTAAACTTTGCCTAAAGTTGCAAATTAGGTACTCAAGTATCAGTTGTTGCAGTTAGAGTACTAAACTATGTACTCTACCTGTGTTAACCTGTTGTAGCCGGTAATAGAGAGCAATAAATACAATTTTTTTTTTTTTTTTTTTTTTTTTTTGCAGATGTTGAAATCTATGAAATTTTGAGAATTTATTCTTAAAAGATCTTGCAATGGAGCCAAGACCGCCATTAATGAAGCTGCTGGAATTGGGGCTTTTATTAACTTTCTTCATCATTGTTGTTGAATCCCAACAACAAACTCAACAATCATCCCAACAACAATCTCAACAATCACAGGTTGTGCAAGATACAATCAATGATCGACAACCACCACCACCACAAACACCGCCAACATTCATACTCTCTCCTCCACCACCATTATTGCCTTCGCCTCCGCCTCCTCCTCCAATTTCCCCACCTCCTTCGTCTCCTCCGCCTCCTTCGTCTACTCTACCTGTTTAACCTGTTGTAGCCGGTAATAGAGAGCAATAAATACAATATATATTTTTTTTTATTTTTTTTTATTTTATTTTTGCAGATGTTGAAATCTATGAAATTTTGAGAATTTATTCTTAAAAGATCTTGCAATTGAGCCAAGACCGCCATTAATGAAGCTGCTGAAATTAGGGCTTTTATTAACTTTCTTCATCATTGTTGTTGAATCCCAACAATAAACTCAACAATCATCCCAACAACAATCTCAACAATCACAGGTTGTGCAAGATACAATCAATGATCGACAACCACCACCACCACAAACACCGCCACCATTCATACTCTCTCCTCCACCACCACCATTGCCTTCGCCTCCGCCTCGACTGCCTCCACCGCCTCCTCCTCCAATTTCCCCACCTCCTTCGTCTCCTCCGCCTCCTCGAGTGCCTCCTCCTCCGCCTCCACCATCATTGTCGCCTCTGCCATCGCCACACCCTCACCCACATCGTGTGTAACTGATGAGAGCAGACATTCGGGAAAGAACAGCAGCTCATTGCTCTATATCCAAGGCACTGTCATGATTGATGATTACTCAAGATTCGATTTTTATTACAATTTTTTTTTATAAATCAAACCGGTTAAAAACGGTAAAAGGAGGTCACCGGGACGGAATATTCCCTCAGGTAAGTACTCTGCCATACTTCAGTACTCAAAATGCAACAACTGATACTTGAGTACCTTATTTGCAACTTTAGGCAAAGTTTAGTACCCACATTAATGAAGGCAATAGTTTTTATTTTAACTTAAAAATAAAATTATATTAGAAGTTTTATGTTTTTTAAAATTAAATACAAATGACTTTAGTTGACCTTGTGTTTGTTTGTGATCTGGATTGCCTTACTACAACCCTTAAAAATATGGTAATTATTGAAAGTTTCTTGTTTGAGTGGGAAAAGGGCTGTTTATTGCCTCAAATTGTTAAAGGCATCTTCAAATTATGTGAGTTGTAATATTATATATATATATATATATATATATATATATATATAGAGAGAGAGAGAGAGAATAGTTGAGAACTAAGCCGAATAATAGGAACTACGAACCAATCCCAGACGCTACCTCCGACGACTCACATCTCACCCGCATTTAATAATAACATTTTCGTAATTTCGCGAATTTTAAAACTTTTTTTCCCCGTTTTTTAACCTTAAAGGATATTTCATTTATTTTATGACTGGTTTCATTTACTTTTACTAACTTTTCATTTACTTCTTAGAAATGAAACTGGAAATCATTTTGTAAAGTAGAAATATTACGAAAACGTCAATAATGACACGAAAAGCATGTTGACCGTCCGATTAACATGATCTAAGAGCCTAAATTAGTTCCTAGTTATTACATATAATGTTGATTTTAAAAGTAACCTTTAAAGTTTTGATCGATGTAAACTATTAGATGTTTTTTTTTTTTTTTTTTTTTTGTCATTTTCTTGAGATAGGGAAACCATTAGTAATTGTTAAAAAAAATTAAAATAAATTGAAGTTAGATGTAAGCCAATTTCAACTATATACATACTTAATGTAACTTTAGTATGGGTGGTTGTGTACATATTATGATATTCACACCAAATTAAGCCAAAAAGCTATTCAATTATACCAAATAACCATACCATACCAAATATAGTTAGTTATATTAGGAAATTTTATCTCCATACCTAACCCTTTACCTAGAGGGATGTCATTTTGATTTACAAGTACTTGTATTACTTTTCCAAATAAACCTAATGTATATATAAAGATAATATATATTTGAATGTGGTTAAGACTTTGAGTTTGTTTATCTGAAAAAAGTTAGGGTAAAAGGATTGTACAAAAATATCCTCCTTGCAAGGGAATGACAAAATGGATTTGAAATAACAATAATAAGCAATAAACTTAAATTATTGAAAAGATCAATATTCAAGGACTCTAATTTCTTGCATTTGCTATCTGCTATCCGACCTTCTACTTGATTTGTTGTATAGTCGATGTTCCGAAATAAGCAAATTTTATGATTTCGTGGTACGTAAAAGCCACAAAATGTGCTTTGATTTGACAAATATTAGGTAATACGTACTTGTATTGAAAAAAAAAAAAATTATAACTACGAATACAACTTTTTTGTATAAAATATAATATTTAAAGTTGTGCATTACAACGTTAGTAACATTTTGGAAATCTCCTCTTCTCTCCTCTCCTCTCATCTCATCTCCTCCTCTCTTCTAGGGTTTCTCCAAAATCTTGGCCGTTTAGGCCGGAAATAGTCTAATTTCTTAAATTAGACTATTTCCAACCCTTTTCCTTTAATTTTATTTAGTTTAGCAATTTAATTTCAATAAATCTACACAAGTAGTGTAGATATTCGTCCGTCTCCCTATGGTGGAGTGTCTCCCTATGGTGGAGTCGTTAGTTTCGTTTGGCATCGCTGTGGTTTTCTGTTTTTTGGTTTTTTGTTTTTTAAAAGTGTATTATATATGTCACATAATGAATCAAAAAATATATAAACTCATTAAAATCATGATAATTTTGAAAATTAACAACAGAAAAGTGGAAACACCTTTTTCTTGTTTCTTGTTTTTGGTTTTTGGTTTTCAAAAAAACAGAAAACTGAAAACCAAAAATGATGTCAAACAAGCCTAGTTGTTTGTTTTTGTTTAGGGTTTATTTGTGTGTTAGGGTTCATCAAAAAAGTAATCATCTTTTGCCCTATTGTCAGTTCTTTGGTAAAGATTTGTTCGGAATCGCAACGGTTGTCAAATTTTCAAATGCGTTCAGGCGAATCAGATGAGAATCATCCTTACGGTTATAAAAAATCGTTAGACCGTCTCTCCGAAAAGGTTGTATATTCCAGCGATGTGTGCGAGAGATGTACCACAGTGCAAGATCTTTTCAACGACCGTAGCTCTGATGAAGGAAAACCTAATTTGATTCAATTTTATGTATTTGTTAATTTAGATTTCATTTGTAGATGGCGGATGGATTTTTATTAATGAGTTGATTTGTTTCCAAAAAAAAAAAAAAAAAAAAAAAAAAAAAAGAAGAAGTTGTGCATTACAAAAGAGATCAAAATCAAAACGAAACATTGAAAGAATGTAAAGAGAATATATTGTAATAATAAATGTTTGTTAGTACATTCTTTTCCATCCTCTTAAGAATAACAATATTATTATGGTCAATAAAAAGACTAGTAAAACTAATAATTTGCTATTCAATATTCATGTTGTTATTATTGATATCTAAGGTCAAATACGTTATCATAAGAAACATAACACAATTTAAACAAATAAAGGAAAAGGACAAGCAATTATACTTTTTAAAATCGGCTTTCAAACCATGATCACTACATCAACAACTCATACAAGTCATATCACATTTATTGCATACATCAATATATATAGCATAGCTTTTTATTATAAAAATTATAATTGGTAGATTTATTTTGAGCTTAAAGATGATTAGTTGACTTAATTTAATCTATTACGGAGTATTTTTATTAGTGGCAACAAAACTAAATGTTGCATACATTTTAATAATAAAAAATATTATGATATGGAATGTCACGTCTTCGACAAAAATAATGTACATGAATCATGATATATATGTTTAAACTAATTTACAAAAAAAAAAAAAAAAAATCCAGCTCATATAGAAAATCTCATTTGTCGTCATATGTCCAAGTTCATGACTCCCATCCACTTTGCTCATGTCTAAATCCACCAACCATTCTCTCATATATCACACTTAATTTAACTTCTCCCATTACTAAATGATCTTTTAATTAGAATTTTCGATCTTAACAGATAACTAAAAAGTCGAATTATGAAAAACATTTAGGAACGAAGGAGTACGAACAAAGCATATATCATACTAGTATACGTTCCGTTGCCCCTTATATCGTTTTATTCTATCTAATTATGCTATTGGATGATTATGGAACAATTGGACAATGTTAGCCCCACAAATTACTTATTAATAAAAAGGATGGTACTATAATATGTGTTTGAAGATATCTTAATCATTTACTAATCTCCGAGGATTAGGATTCACTGGATCAAATCTGAGCAACAAAGCAAAAAGAAGGTTCGAAGAAAACAATAGTCTTAAATTAAATAAATATATATATACTCCTTAATTGTTTATTATCTTTATCATGATATTCTCTTCACTTAAATGACCTTTTGATTTTATGAAAAGTTTTATGTGATACCTTTGTTTGTATTGCGATATTTATATCATACACAATTTTATATTAACTTTCTGTACCATAATATGTGAAACCTTATTTATTGTTTACCTTTATTTCATATAATCCAATAATAGATTCTTAGTTTTTACAGGGTTTCATAGTGTTAATAGGTTTATGCATTGTGTAATTTGACACATTCTAAGGTTAAAAAAAAATAAGGTTAAATTTGTCAAACTACTAATCTATATGAACTTTCTAGTTAACCATATCAACATTGCTCAACAATTGTAAAGACTTATCACAAATCATTTTTAATACACATATTCAACCACTAATACATATTTCAAAATTACAAGTCAAATGAGAATTTAACAAAATCTCACATTAGTATGACTGTATGAGTATAATTTTATAGTTACTCCATAATACGGAGTATATAAATTGAGGATAATTTGTGGTTGAAGCTTCTTCCGGTTTAAATAAAAGAGTTTAAATGAAATTATTAAATAAAATGGAACAAAATGAGTAAAACAGTAACGCATTTATTAAGAAACAGAGAGAGTAATGCGAAAGAAGTTTGGGTATTGGGAAATTTGTATGAAGAGAAGGGTATTGTATTTGTTCATAAGTTTGGTCTGACAGCTCAGAAGTAGAGACGCACGAAAGCTCCACTAACCCATGCAATTAACTAAATAATCAATTAATTAATTAATAAAGAAAGTAATGGGATAAGGAATAATGTAATCTTTGTTATGGCTTACTCCATTTAAAAAAGGACAACCTGGCGAATCACTTGTAAACAAATAATTAGGCCATAATTTAGTACACAAGCTAAGTTACCTTTATCTTTTCTATACATTATTATTCCTTCCATCTGGATTTGAGTAATCTAATCATAAAGGTTTTTCTTTTTCTTTTTTCAAAAACATTCATACTTGTGAAATTCGATCACAACTTTTGGTTACTAGTGGCTATATGATTGAATCCATTCAATAAAAACACCCTATTTGTAACTTAAATTGATTGTAATTGTATTTGTTATCAGTAATTAGGGATGGCAATCCACTTCGAATCTGATCCTATTTTGCCTCATCCGAGGAAAATAATCCACTTCGAGTCCAAGAAAAAAGTATTATGAGTTTAACTCCGAGTCGAAAACTGATTGATCGTGGATTTGGGTGTGGGTAGTAGTGAAAGTGGGTGTGGGTTACAAAGGCCCAAGTAGCCCAATTTCTCAAACTATATTGAATACCTAAAAAAACTCGGAGTCGAAAGCCAGATAAGTCAGATTTAACATAATTCGTTCCGAGTCCGACCCGTTGTCATCCTTATTAGTAATTTGAACTGGACGATTAATAGTTCATTGATATCTACATAGGATCAATGTTTACACATTTGTGAACTAATTATTATGAACAATTGATATTGATACTGGTAAATTTCATAAGTGAATAGTAAAGATGCAAAAAAGTGTGAACATTATCAAAATACTGTGTGATATAATCAAAGTGTGTCATAATAATTAGGTCATATTCATACAAAAGCACTTAAACCCAATGGGAAATTTTAATTACTAGGTCAACTTGTCATTTTGTCAGGATTATCAGATCAATAAATAACAAATACTCTTTACCGTTAATCTCAATTGGCCATTAAACTAAGGATATAAAGGAAGTTCCAAATCCAACACCCCAGATTAGATCTTATGTAGTACTCTATATCCTTAATCTCAACTAGCCATTAAATTAAGACACCGATAATCAAATGAATAAATTTAACTGTCTTAAAAATTTTAAAATAATCATTATAGATACTCTCTCCGTCTCTAAAGTGCTTCCTATTCAAACGATAGTACTCAATATCTCACAAAAATAGTCATAAAGAGTGTAATGGAAAATTTTTGAGAGACAGCTGCAGTACTATTATCAACTCAAACTATTTATAAGCCTAAAAAAATTTGTCGAAATACTACAAAATATAAGATGAAATAAGACAAAGAATAAGGATAAATTTAGTGAAGCACTTTGATGTTTAGCCTTAAGAAGTTCATTCCCATGTGAAAAAATGAAAAGGTTTTTGGCATGGAGTGTTTGTCACTTCAAAGATAGGCAATAACTTTTAGGGAGGTTTGACCACACTTACCCTTAATCTCAAGGGAACATTTTTAGATCTCCAAGATTAATATAACAGTACCAGCTACTTCAGCAAATTCTAAAGTTTTTATTTTGCCAAAGAGAATCTTTAGCATTAGATGTTGGGACTTTTAGGGTAATGTCATCATGTCCAATATCCCAAGCATGCAAATTATTCAACCACTTTTTGAATTCTAATAATGCCTTGATTTTATCATTTTATGTCACTTGCAAGTTGCAACTACTTTCAGATAGAAAGATCAATACCTAGGCTATGTATGGTGAGCAGTTCTTGCAAGTAGAGCTGATCGCGCTCCATCCAGGTTTGCATGAATTAACCTATTCCTGGCTCGAAAACAGTACTTAGCCCGATTCAGCCCCAAGCTAATGCAAGACTATGGTACATTTAGTAACCCTGAAGGTTTGCCACACTCTACTATGATTAGTCAAACCCCCCCCCCCCCAAAAAAAAAAAAAAAAAAAAAAAATCTCTCTATATCTGAGACTGGTAGTCCAATAAAATAAGATAAATCCGTACAATATAGAATGTCATACAATATTCTACTGCCTGGCAGAAAGTAACATAAGTTATGGAAAAGGAGAGTGATGAACGAATTTAGTTGATTTTACTACAAAGTCGACCTGAAAAGAGTTCTGAATCTTTGGACATAAGACTAAGAAATGGCTAAGTCGCCAGGTATCAACTGAAAGCTAGGAAAGGTCCTATTTTTAAACGAAATATAAGTAGCACACAGACTAAGTTTTCCACATAATTCAACAAAATGACCCTAAACATGGAGCCTAGTAAGAAGTAATGATATAGACCTAACGAAACAGGTAGCAAATCATCCATTCACCACCATAGAATGGCAGTCAAGCTGTCAAATGTTCTGCGAGTAGTCGAAGCTGAGTGGCTGCTGACAGAATGGAGCCTGAAACAAAGAGAGCAAATTTCCAAACATAACATCAGATAACTGAAAAAAATTAGATGAACTTACAGTTGAGCTCTAATAGAAGATTATAAAATCCAAATTCAGTTATCACAAATCAACCCTCCAATTTGCACAATAATATCCCAGATACCTTATACCTCAAACTATTGCTCTGGGATTATACTAAAAAGCCCGATTCCTGGAAGTGTCTCATCATTTTTTTAATGGTAAGGAGAAAGACCTTGATCAGACTTTAATTCTCATGATTTTTTTAGTCTAGTATTTGTCGGCCAAGTACTTGGAAGTGTAGGGGGTGGGGATGTAAGGGAATCCCTACCCCCAAACATCCTCACTTCACAAGCTTCAAACCCCAGACCTCTAGGATCTAAGATAAAAAAACCTTACCAAGTAAGTCAAGCCTTGCTTGGTAGTGAGTGTCCCATCATTGCTCAATAACAACTCTATCTACCTTAGTGAGCAAAAACTCAAAAAGCATTGATTAAATTGGGATTAACAATCGATTAATAATTTTGCTTATTTCTTCCTATTAGTACTTACGCTAGGACTATAATTCAAATGCACAGGTGAAAAAATTACGTGTCGATTAGGAGTTTAGGACAACCATATATCATAATAATGTTCAAATCAATTGTATAAATTAAAAAAAAAAAGCACAGGTGGATATGCTGCAACCTTGAGTCCTAGATAAGAATGATAAGTTGATAACTACCAACCTAGTACCCACTAACACATAATGGCCACTAGATGAACCGAATTTTAAAACTGCATCATACCTGGAAAACAGAATGTCTAAACTGATCATATGAGTGTGCATACATCATAGCAGGACTGGGCCACTGCATGTAAACGGCATCTCTGGAAGGTTGATTTAATCCCATGGCACAATAATGATTCATACTTGGGTCTGATGGACCATAGTTGAGGGCGTTCTGTGCTCTTGGGATTTGACCCATCTGAGGAAAAGCAGCATCATACTGCACATAGGGAGGCTGAAACTTGGGCATGCTGAAAGGAAGCATAAACCTCTGACCGGTAGGAAAGCTTTTAACATACCTACAGATGACCAAATAGGATATATTAGCACTCAGCAAATATAAAATGGCCCCAACTAAAAAATTTCAGGGCAATAGCACTATACGGTTATACCAGACTTGAGTTGGGTCTGAATTTGCAATAAAAAAACCCATCCACAGGTTTTACTCAATTACCTCTATTATGGTCATACAAAGAGAATAGCATTGTAAGGACAAAAACAAATACAGAGATCAAGAAAGATGAGCAGAAGAGCATAATGTCAATAGCCAAAAAGTAGCAACAAATTCTAATCAAAAAATAAAATAAATTCTTTATTCCTATAGAAACATAGAAAAATAGGATAAAGAGAAAAGGATGTTTTCAACTTCCAGAATTGATTTAAATCTAAGAAAATTAAGTCCTCAGAAGCAAGGATCTCTTAATAAAATTTATCATCTAGTCTTCAAAATCCAATATGATGAAAGAGTTAACTCTGCTTTCATGCTCCCCAGCCCCCAGGCACTCAAGCAATATTATCAATACCAATCCAACAAAGATCTAAGGTAAATTGGAAGATTACAGCAAAAAAAGATTCATCACAGAGAAGCGCAAATGTACCTGTCATAACTACGGTCATAATCTGGATCATATCGATCTTTTTCTCTGTCTTTGAAGATGGCAGCAACACGAGAAGAAGTTCCTATGTCCCTGACACTGACACTCTTCTCCGGTTCATTGATAAAGTTCTGGCATCCACCCATTTCATCCTTGCTTGGACACAAACTTTTCCCATCCCCTGACACCTGCGATGATGTATCATCTGACGTAGGACTGTTTGGACTGCTAAAGATGCGAGCTCTTGCCTTATCATACTCCTCCTTCCTCTCTTCGACGCTCCTTACAGAGTTTCGTTTAAGATCCATGTCACCTGCACCAGAAGATGATCTACAAGGCCTACGCCTGATAGCAATTTTGACCATCTCATGTTTGTTGTTATCTGACTGTCTAGGTATGTCTGATAAACAAACTGATGGGTACTTGCTCTCCGCTGTTTTCATAACCATGATTTTAGTTCCAGCCCCATCAACAAGATTGTCCAACACCATGGTCTGCAGACCGTAATGCTGAGCAACCCTGTGTGCCGCAAGGCGTAAATAGGAAGTAGGGAAATGTTGGAACTCAAACTGCAATTGCTCTGGATTCTGTAAGAATTTCTGAATATCGAGCTCCATACGCAGAACTGAAAAATAATAAATAAAAACCGTCATTATTCAGTCGAATTAAAGAGATCACATTGGAGCAACATATGTAATGTACATTGAGGAATCTGATCAAAGCCAACTACAAGTCTACAACCCTTATATACCAACAAAGAACAAAAAAATCTACAAGGACAAGGGAACAAGGGCAAGATAATTCACACTCTTTAAATCATTGTAATTAGCCAATCACCAGATCCTTAGGATGCAATCAAGGGCATATTTAAGCTGCTTTTCTTTAATCTAAATCGAAGGTTTTCTTGGAGCCTGCATATTCATCTAATTGGAGATAAAAGACTTCACAAATCATTAAGAAGTGAATACTAGGCTCGTACTTCCTCTGTTTTCTTTTAAATGCAACACACCTTCTTGGCACTCACTTTGAGGAAGAGATTAAGCAACGTAAACAGACAAATTAATCAGAATAATTTATACACATAGTACCTAACCCTACTCTAGTCTTGGTGTTCAAACTATTTGGATAAAGTCACTTGTTTACCTACTCTAATCAACTCCTAAAAAAGCATGTCAAGGTGGTGTATTGCATTTATAAGAAAACGAAGAAAGTACAATATAATAAAGTCATAAAAACAAAACTATCAGTAGCAATTAAAACACCATGACCACACCCTAGGGCAGTGGAGTAACAAATGCAAAATTGACATCGCATGTAACTGCACAAAAAGGAGAAAATGAAAGAGATACCGATCAGCCTAGTAGGGAGTATAAGACAAGGAAGTAGGAAAAAAAAATTACAGCTATATTTCTACCTTACTATGTACACAATGCCACAATATACGGAATTATCATAATCAACCTTTCTCTCTGTCTGTATCACCTCCCTCTGTCACTCCCTCTTTCAAAACTTGTTGAAGAATAGCAGCAAGAATAAAACAAGTGGTGATACTTGAATTGTGCTTAAAAAAAATTTAAAAAAAATTTAAAAAACATATTTAGGCACATTAAATACAATAGATGGGTGATGCCCAAGTATGTTGCCTAATACCTATTGCAAGCTCCCTTTACTTTACCTTAACAGATCTAGATGTATGCAGTACATAAAATTAACAAGAGAACACAAGCAATTTCATTTGGTCATTCAAAATAGTAGGAAAATGAAGGCATGGGCCGACATAAATGTACAGTGTTAACGACAAAATCAAGCATGCCAAATTTACATGCAAAACTTTCTCATAAATTAAAATGTTTAAGAAAACCATAAGCAACCGCCACAATACATTCTCATTTAAGTTTTATAGAACCTTTTTGCATAAGACACTGCCTTACACAAGCATATTTTCTAATGGACAGGATACTAACAGTAACTAACCCTGCTTTAACACTTAAGCCTACAAATTGATATTCAGAAATCTCCACTAAAAACTCAAGAGTTTTAAAAGAAACCACTCCCAAAGGAAAGCCCTCCCTATTCAAATGATTTTGCTCCATTATTTAAGCCTCCCTCTATAGCGAAGACATGCTCCGTTATAAAGGTCCACACACTTCTAGCATGCCACACATCCCCTATGGCCTCTATTAGGGTTGATTCCACATTCTTAAACTTTGTTTCCAAATTTAATTAAGAAGCATTATTCTAGAAAGGCTAAGAGAATCAACTGAGTTGATTCCCTAAATTGCAACTTGTTAGGTCAATTTAATCATTCCCTTTAACATCTTCTTACCCACAAATTCTCCCCCCCCCCCCTCTCCCGGCTTTCACTTACTCTTTCTCTTCTTGACACCATGCTCACCTTGACCACCACTAGACCAAACAATCAAGACCATCCATCTTCTGATCTCTCCACCCTAACCACCAACACTAACCATACATGGCCACCATGAAACCCACCCAAACTCCATAAAATTCATTCAACCACCAGCCATCACCAACAAATCACCACCCCAACCACAAAAAAAGTATAAAAAAAGTTCAAGGCGCACCAATGCAATTCGGAGTTCCAAGCACCTTATGCACACCCTTGGTTTTAAAAAGTGCGCCTCGGGCGCGCCTCGCTCCCATGGGAAATGGGCTTTAGCTAGGCAAGGCCCAGTCGTCACCTACGGAAGGCGCGAGCCTCGTGCGCTTCAAAGTGCCTTTGGTAAGGTGCGCCTTTGCGCCTCAAGGAAAATAACTAAGATTTAAGATATAAATTGAAGAATGGACATTTTTTCAAATTTAGACTACCTTAGCTTTACATATATCATTATTTAATTTATTATGAATCTTTTCAATTGGTATTAAGTATAATAAAAAAAAAATTGAAATAAATAAATAAATACATGCGCCTTGCATACAAAAGACACGCGCCTTCGCCTTGCGCCTAGGTTGCAAGGACCATATGTGCCTTGGAGCGCCTTGCGCCTTTTAAAACTAAGTGCACACCTTGTTGAGGTGAGGTGCATGTAATAAAAAATAAAAAAAATATTGTGAAACGTCATTATGCACCTTGCACCTAAATTGCAAGAGGCGCATGACCACTAACGAATTGCACCTTAGCGCCTCTAGGCACACTTTTTCAAACATTGCACACCCCCCAAAATCCCAACACAACCCCACCCTTGAAATCCATCGCCCTTTGAAACTTCACCTCATTCACCCGAAAAACTTAACCCACCCCTAAAAATCTACCGCCAGCCATATAAAATTGAAAACAGCCCAACCGACCAACAAAAACTAGATCTGACAAGCGAGGAAAAAATGGAGGAAGAGTGGAGCTATGTTCACCGGACTCGGCAAAAAACCCAAAGTGTCACACAACACGACACGGACACGGACACGGAATTCGTGTCAGATTCGGCTGTTTGACCTCGGACACTTCAGAGAGAGGGGAATGGGAGAAAGTGTGAAACAGAGCTGAATTTTTTTTTAAAAAAAATAATAATAAAAATAAATAAAAAATTCCGCCGTGTACTGGTTGTCGGCACCATCTGCTGTGGAGGCGGACTTGCGGCAGCCTTTCCCTCTTTAGATCTAAAATTATCTTCAGTTGAAAATTTCACATCCTAATTCATATTTTTGGCAGATTTTAATGGGAAAATCATGAAGCCATGTCATTTTGAAGACGAAGAATGGTGAAAAAATAATTAGAAAAGGAAAAGAGATGAAGAAGACAAGAAGTTGAAAAAGGAAGCCATTTAAGCTGATAAAAATGGTGAAAGAAAGTAATGGGTGAAAAAGAGAGAAGAAGACAGTCAAAATAGAGATAAGAATTAAAAAAAAAAGTACTATACAGCTGTACTACTAACTTTTGTTTATAAGATAAATAATTTAGTAAAGAGACTTTATCTTTTTGAGTTGTTGGTAACTTACTATGTACTCCGTATCTTTCTTTTCCCTTTTTTTTTTCTTTTTTTGTTTCTTTTTTTTTTTTCTGAAAACATTTCTTTTCTTTTTTTTTTCAGCAATTGTTTAGAAATTTTTAATTTTTAACTTATGACGAAGTGGAAACACTTATCCCTCAAAAAAAAAAAAAATATTAAATATTTTGTAATGTATAATTTTATTGCAAAAAATGAAAGTGCCGTGTCCCCGCACCCGTGTCCAAATATAGGACAGAGTCCCCGTGTCCTAAAATTTTGGAAATTGACGAATCGGACACTCCACGTGTCCGACTCACGTACCCGAGTCCATGTAACATAGGAGTGGAGTGTTAGAGAAAAGAAATAGAAAGGATAGTGGTGAGACAACCCAAACAATAACTTACATCAAAGGGGTTTTTTTCCCCCAATACCTTGCTTGATTCTATTCCCTTTCTTAGATTTTCAAACACCCCCTTATCCTTTGATATTCACATTCTATTAGCATTCTTCCCAATATTATTATAAACAAAACCAAGCCTTGTTTGGATTGTGAAGTTGCATCTAAAAAAAATAACCTATAGAAAAGCACCAATAGATCAAAGAAAGTGACATGATAATGGAGGCATGAGATTACCCTTCACTTCAACTTAAGAAAAAAGGGCTGTTAGGAGACCTAAAACATAAGAATTGCTTCTTATAAAGGACTGATTGACCTGGTTTGCTATTCAAATTTTTGCAATTTCACAATACTAAATCCTCCAAACTAACTAATAAATCCATGTTAACCACTGGCTGACTGGCACCAGAACTAAAGTTGTATTTCACTAGCATCTTCAAACCTTAAATAAACCTTTGCAACAAACATAAAAGGCTCCAAAAAAAAAACACGTGAGAAAGTATGCTACACCAATAAAGCACCATCAAATTCTTTTCCAGTAATTGATAATAATACATGCCTTAGGATTGGAGAAGCATTACAAAACAACATTTCAATAACAAACATCCAAGTGTTTTCCAGAAAGATGTTACATTCAACTGTTCAATTGTCCCCACCAATTGCCTACAAACTCCTCAACAAATTCTTAAAATTAGTAGTAAATTACAATTAAAAAAAATAAACACACATTTGAAAAGACATGTCTGTGTCCTCATCCCTACAGTCCAAAGAATACTTAAAACAAGAATACCGAAGAGATTCTAAAGAATTTCCTAGGCAACAACGGGGGGATATCCAACATCATTAATACATTAAGAAGAAACCTCAAAATACTGATGACGTTGATCATGAATCTAATTTACACCTTGCTAGAGGAAACGGAAGGTCGGAAGAAATAGGACTATAGGAGGGAAAGGAAAAAGTTCCCTTGTTTGGTTAAGAGGTTGGGAAAGGAAGGGAAGAGAAAGAGGAGGATCCATTTTCCTTACCTCTTTAATAAACACCATCCCTCCAAAAATGAAATTCCACCTTCCCCCCTCCCTATCCTTTCCTTCTCCTTCCTCTTTCCATGAACTTCCTTTCCTTCTATCTTGCTACGCTAACAAAGCATTAAGCTTAAACTACATGGTAATCGATTTTCTCTCATTTTTAAAGAGGGAAATATGATATAAGTGAGTCTCAGTATAGGTATCAGGACACCTCTAATGTATGCTACAAGAAAAGACATTTGGGGACAGAAATATTTGAACAAGTATCTCTTATCTCTCATCTCTATGCACCAAACATACATCTCACCATTTTACACCAAAATTAAAAAGCATAGTACATTAACATGGCAGTAGAAGACAATTCTACTAAGAAATTCAAGTTTGGGGGAATCGAGGAAGAAATCATTGAAAACAATGCTCATGTTCCCTTTGCTGACCACCAAACACAGAGATTACACAAGTATAAAGGCATAAGTATCTGACCATTCTCAACCAAATAAAAGCATAAAAGCATAGGGCATTCACACAACGGTAGAAAACACTCAACATCAATAGAACTAATCTAACTTTGAAATGTATTCATATTCGAACATACCCTAATTTTGAAATATGCATGACTAATTCGACCACAACCCGTTCACTACAAAAGAACATGATCTAATACCAAAAACAAGATACATTCTGAAACGGAACACAATCGAAGAAGACTATAATAATTAGATTCCAAACCAGCGGTTCGCAAAGAGTCTAACAAAAGCTCATCTACACCGACAAATACAATTCCTCAGCTGAGGCGCATTGCTTCACCTGCCATTATAAATACTAATTGATTCCAACAACTCACTCAACAGCAATACATACGAAATTGAGCATTCTAGCTCCATAAAAACACAACAAATCTCCATAAACCAATCACACATTCATCCATTCTACTATCCCAATTACCAAATCAACCAGATCTAAGCCATAAAACAAAACAACCCACCATACATTAACCCTAATTAAACGCAAAAACACCAATAAAATCACAACATTAACATCCAATCAAAACAAATTCAATCCCAAATCTGCAAAAATTTACCCCAAAATTCCAAAACCACGCAAAATTGAACAAATTACAGCAAAATTAAGCAATAATCAACCAAACAAAAGCAATTAGAAACTCAACTGGTTAAACGATGACGAGGGTTTTGAAGAGCTTCAATGAGAAAAGGGTCGACCAATGAAACATAATTGTTGACCAACGCCGCCTCCTTTTCCTTCTCAATCAAATCAATTGACGAAACTTGAGTAGAATCCATTACAATAACAAACAAAAATCAAACAAACCCAGAAAATCCCAGAACCCAATTACCCTAAAATCACCCCCAAATTAAAAAAATTCCTAAAAAAACGATCTCAATTTTCTCTCTCCAAAATTGCGGACGCTTCTGCTTATGCTACACCCGATTCCTCTTCAATTCTTCTTCTGGGTAATTGCCTAAATTGAAAATTAAGGGTTTAAGAAGAAGAAGAAACTGTGTTGTTTGTTGATGTTGGTTGTTCAAAAGCATCCAGGGTGAAGAGGAGAGAGAAAATGAAGAGATGGAGAGAAAAAGAGGCAAACTCTCTTTGGTTTATCTCCCACCCAAAAAAGGGGTATGAATTTATGATATTAACCTCTATTTATATGTCCCCTATTTTTTTTATTGTAATTTTAAATCTTTTTCTTACTTTCATTAATTTTTCCCACTATTTTTTTCTTCTTTTTGTCTCCCTAATGTTTTCTTTCCTCAATTATTACCCCTTTTTTCATAGGGTTGGTTTGTGGGTGGGGGCATGAGGGAGAGTTTTATTCCATATATAATTTGCTTTTGTTCGGGTTTTTAGATCTTAGAAAAACATATATCATCAAATATCTTTCCTTTTATAATGAGTAAATAAATATATGTCTTATAATATTAAGATTCAAAATAGAATAACAAATTAAAGATTTTTTTAATACTACACGAGTTTTTCCCAATATTTTGTAATGTCTATTAATCGTGTATCAAAATTTATAAACTATTGGTGTATGCGTTGAAAATCGAGCTTTTTGGTTTCTATGATCTTCAAATAGCGTAGCAAGTTTATCCATTTTCACACTCCATCTAGCTTGAATTATCATATTGCTACATTACACCATTTTGATTCTTGGCTTTGTGTGACTTATATTTGTTATATCTCACCATGTTATTGCATCATTGTATGAGTTTAGAGTTTGGTTGTATTATGTCAGGGGAATTGATTCACTATCTAGGGTATGGCAAGGGTTTTGTAAGAAACGTATTGGCATACTCATTCTATGTAGTAGTTGATAATCAAATTAAAGGCTTAAAGCTACATTTGTATGCAATGCTTTATGATTAGTGCTACAAAAATCATTTTTTGCAAGCAGTGACTACAATGTCAAAAAAAAAAAAAATAATAATAATAATTAGGAAAAGGCAAAAGCTAATGAGCGCCCCCGGGGCGTTAGATTAGAGAATTAAAATGCAAATACTAGAGTAAAATTAACATTAATTACAGCGAACGACGCGTGATTTTGTCATGAATTCCTAACTTAATATCTTTTCAACCAATTGAATTTATCCTTATCTAACGCCCCGGACGATCGGAAAGAAAATAAGAATTACTAGTATATTTTCATCAGTACTTGTGTTTTTTTGCACCTTTATTATATTGGGCTTAAGAACAATGTTCTTGTGGCCAATAAAATTATATGGGCCTACGAGCCTAATTGGGGATAAAGCCGCTAATTCGCAAAGCAATGTTTCCAATAAGCTGCAAATTTTGCAATACAAGAGGCTTGTATGGTCCGAAACCTCCGAACCAATCTTCTACGCCTTAACCAAGCCACGTTTCATTGGCCCTTCGCCAAAAAGTCACTTTTGGGCAAGGCCCAAGGGTATAAATATGCCCTAAAATACACTCATTCACTGTATCTAATGGCTAAATGGGCGTGTTCGACAAATTAGTTGTTGAGGTAGTTGTTAATTGTAAGTAGTATTTGTTAATTGTGCAAAAAACTATAATCCACCATCAAATTGTTACTCCGTAACTGTGAAGATAGATAATTAAATTTTCAATAACTACTTTAATTTTCATGTATAGGCTAATAATAATTTTAGCATTTGATAAAAGGCATTCGTAGCCATTACGAGTCAAACGGTCTAGTTTTTTTGTTAAGTAGTTGTTTGTCAAACCATTGAAAGCTACTCAAATCTAGTATTGAACACGTCCTAATGTTTAATAATATTTTATTGCACTTGCTCTACCAGCTCTTAACACTCTCCCAATTTATTGTATTCTGATCAAGCTAATAAATTTAGCATTAGAGGGGTTCCTTTGGACACAGCCTCCAGGTGTGCTCACATGCTACCTATGTGGTGCTCAGCCTAGTGAACTTGAGTCCACATCGTACATAAGTCTTTAACTCAAATTATAAGTGAACCTCATACGAGGTGGTGATTGTTGCAACCCGAAACATTATTTATTAGAGATGATAGACTAGATATTGGAGAATTATGCTCAAAGTTTTTGAAATTTGACCCAAAAAAATATAATGATTGGCAACATATAGTGATAAAGGGAAGTAATTACAAGTTATTATTAGCAATGTATGTAATTGACACTCTTTAAATTTACGCATTTGGTTGAGAGAAGACTAGATAGGGTGATCAATTACACATTATAACCTATTAACCATAATTATGTATGGTAAGTGTATATTAAATACTAATATAATGTTTTAATTAGGGTTAGTTAGCTATAAAAGGTATGTGCCTATGAGATTAATAGGTTAATAGCATTAACATTACTACTAGGCAGAAACTCAAAAACTTTCTCAAAATTTCAATAATTCAATGAGAAGCCACTTCTATCACACTTCATATGATGCACATGCAAAAAGAAGTGATTAATTAGCCTACACTTCATGAACCATTCACTATATTTATCCTTCTACATTTCTACACACATTATAATAATGTGTGACAAAATAATGGAATCTAAATCTAAAACCCAAAAAATATTTGTATGAATATAATTAAAGCACCAACGATGTACTTAAAAATGAAGGAAATAAATAAATAAATAAATAAATAAAATTAATAATATTACATCACATTATGACATTATGTGGCGTAACGTAACAGAAATCTTACGTACGAAGTACTCAAAATCTCAAATAATTTTTTAAAATTTTTTTATTTGCAATTGTTTATTTATTTATTTTTAATATAAGAGGGAAGTTTCGAGAGACACGCGGGTTAAGAGTAGACCCAGCCTCATCCATAATTTTCCACGCCCAAAAGCCAATTAGTACGGAAATTATTGATTTATGATGTCATAAATCAATCATAAATCAAGGATAACCCACTCTCATTGCTTTCGTGACTTCACGCGCGGTCCCCCAATGGTCAAGTCTCGTTCTAATTTTCCACGTTGTTTCTTGTTCACCTTCTTTTTAGACCAATTTCCCTCCACTCAAATTAATTGAAATTATTATTGAAGTCAATTTTTTCTCAATGAAAATCACGTTATTATTCTTTTATTTTCAATATTACATTTGTGGTGTTTCAATTTTTATTGGAGATTTTTGTTAGAATATGCGAAAAGATTAAATACTTATACATGGTATAATCATTTATCAGCTCGTATAAGTATTTAACAGCTAGATGTCTGTTACTCCTATGTCAAGCCCTTGTTTAATTAGGTTAAGGCCTTGTTTAATTAGGTTAAGCCCTTGTGCACGACTCATGACCCATCAACGTATCTTTTTATCTCTCGAGTCGAATTAGATAATTATATATTCCTATACTCTAGTGTAGGTAGCACTACTTACACCCCCACTATCCACTTTCCCCAAACAATACACTGCTATAGTTTACTTTTTACACCCCAAAAAAAATAAAAGATAGAAGCATTGTTTTCTCTCTCCTAAAATTAGTATACACTTTTAATCTTCACTCTCCATTCTCTCTTATCAAAATTTGCAAAAATATTTACTTAAAAACTCGAAATTCTTTATGAAAATCAAGTGCGGTCTTTGATAAAAGAGATAAAGTCACACAATTGCAAGGATATAAAATCAAATTGTAACTTATTTTTGGAAGAAAAAAGTGCAAACCCTAACTTTTTGCCATATTATTCAATTATTTTCAGTAAACATATTAAAATTTTGATAGTAGCTCTTGAATTCTTATACTTTTTTATCATAAAAGTGATTTAATATATATACACTCTTTTGTGTTGAATTAATTTATGGTGTGTTGTTTGATTACAACATTGTTGGACATAAAAATTGAAAACAGAGTTTAATTGTCCTTATTTTTATGGTTAATATGATCTATTTCGTAAAATTATATAAATGTAAATTTAGTTCGTAGTGATTTTTTTTTTTTTTTTATAAATGTTCAGTTTCATTTACATAAATGTTCATTTATATATTAGTAAGCAGTCATTCACATATTAATAACCGATCTACATAATGAATTCTAATAATCTCTTAATGATGTCTATTTTTGGCCGATTTCTTCACATATTTTCTATAGTTATAGTTAATGTAGTTCATAATGAAAACTATTTTTAATGCTCGTTTGACTTTTAACACTTGTTCATGTTCATATTGAAAAATGCTCATGTATATTTTAATAATTGTTCATTTTTTATATTGCACTGTATATGATCATTTTCTAATAATGGGTTCATATTTGTATGTGTAAATGTTTATTAATGGTTTAAAAATTAGATCTCTTATTAGTTATTACACAGGATATAATTGTATAAGAAAGTAGAAGACATCGATGTATATATTGAGAAAGGATATGTATTAAAAAAACACGCAATAAAGATGATTTTATATACCTGTTATTTATACGAAATGTATTAAATGACAATGTATAGAAATGGTAATTGAAGTTCATTTTTATATTGATATTATGTTTATATTTACAATAATATATGTTCATTTACATATGGGTAAATGTTCATTCACATATATATATATTTATGCAATTATTTTAATAGATGTTTATTTAAATTTTATTAAATGTTCAATTGCACATTAAAAGATATTCATTCAAGTTTAATAATTGTTCATTTTTTATGTTGTAAAATGTTCTTTGAATATTAATACCACACATTAAATATAAGAGACGATGTTCATTTTAATAGACAAATTTTGACATTTTGGAAGCTAAATAAATGTTTATTTCTATTTTATGAATTTCATTTTAATATTGGTAGCTAGATGATACAAAACATCTAGTATGTAAATTATATTTCTAATAATGATTGTTCTTCCTTATGAAAAGTAAACAAGTCGTTAATGATCAATGATACAAAATTCAATGCTCATATTAGAAAAGCAATATGTTCATAAACAAAAAACCTAAATGTTCAAACCGACTTCGTGATAGTCTTTCGACTGCCCAAACAATAATGTTCACTTTTGTGTTTATGAAACAATTACATATAATAGTATAGCTGTATGGAAATGCATTATTATTGCAATTAAATTGAATTTATTTTATATTGGAATTTTTTTAACAACTCTTTATTTATATAAATTCAATTCTAAGATGTATGTATTTGCATACATATTACTATAAAACTTAGACATGGCTCTTGAAAT